AGAAAAAACAAAAACAGAGGGAATAGAAGCAAATACTGTTGAATGATGATGCACAGAGGAGATTGTGAATGAAACGATGAAACAATGAAATAAAACCAATATTCTCCCATGTAAACTATGACTCAATTCACAATTAAACAAAACAAAGCAAAACAAAAACAAACACACAGAAAATATAAATAGATGACCCAAGGTAAAAATATTTCAGAGGTATTTTTAGGTACTAGAGACACATTGAAATATTTAATTTTCAATTAGCCTTTCTCACAACACTGCAAGAAAGTGTTGGGATATAATTTTTCATTAGGGAATGAACAGATTAAAATCATCTACATTTTCAAAGAACCTCTTTGTATATATTACAAATGGAGTATATCAGAGACAGTGTTTACATCCATATCTCTAAGGATGTTTTCATATACAAAGACAAACAATCTTATTGTGATCAGATAAGGTTTGAATGTATAAACCTATACAAATTCCTGGCTAATATGTTGAGTCTTCCAACATGAAACTATAAACATAAATTTTCATAAAGAAAAGAAAAGAAAACAAAAAAACCAAAAAAACAGATGGGCAGGGATTTTAAGGACCAGCATTCAATGTAATCCCAACCCTGCTCCCTAGTTCTTTTTTCCCCCAGAATATTTGTACATTTATTTATAATGAAATTATGGTCTAATATTTACAACATATAGGAAACCAGAGGACACGTTTATACAAAGCCAGCTTACAAAGTATTCAAATGTGCAAAAATGACAGTATCTTAAACTACTTCTGGTTCAGTAGACTAGCTCCTCCACTCTCACACAGCTATATTTGATACAAAAAGTTCTTTAGGCAAAACCTGTAATGCCAAGTAAAAGGACATGTTGCAATTTCTGTCACAAAGTCCACCATTCTACTGAGAGCAATCAAATCTCTCTAATTGAGCTTTAACCAGTTCGAGAGCGACAGACCACTGTGTTTGATTTCTGTGATGCGTTCCAAACAGTTTTTGGTCAAGCAGTTTTCTTTGACCCAGTTGAAGACAAGGAGCTTAGAAGGGCAATTTTAAAAGCTCCCTAGTTCTTGATCAATGTTTTTCTATTAAAATCAGCTGGCACCACTCCTCCCCCCAACAAAAACAAAGACTCAGAACTGGCTGGTTTGGAAACATGAGAGTTTTCATTGTCACCTCTTTTAATGTGTGTACCTTGTAAATGTATTCAGTAGATTTTAAAAAGGTAATTTAAAATTTTAAAAAGCAAACTACCCTATTCAGGGAGTGTTTATAGAGTTGACACTGATTCCATTTGGTCCATGACATTTACATTCACTGCTGGATTCCCATGATGTTACTACTGCCTTGTCCCTTCCCTCTCTCCTTATTTTCATCCAGCTCTAGTTCTGCATGAGGTGGGTGGCCCTTAAAAAGGACTTGGGACATTTAAAAACCCTATAGAGATGGCAGACACTCAGTCTTCTTTGTGAGCAAGAAGTTAGGTCTAGGTTTCTTTGTCCCCAGCACTCACAATGGGCAGAACAAAATGTGGTTAAAATCTCCATCAGAGGCAACGGAGGGGTCAGGAGATAAGGAGCAGTTTAAGGTCAACATGTTCACTTTGACACTGGGCAAAGATGGAGTCATGTTGAGTGGGCCATCTGGGGACATTCCAACGAAAGCAAAAGCTTACTGGGAAGAGATTGGGCTGGCAGGGTGTATTTTCTGAAAGAGGGACTTTGGGTCTTCACATTCCTCTTTATTGCAACTTACCTAATGAAAAAGGCAGGAAGGATTCCCTTTTCTTAAACTGCCCATTCTCCAGAAAATGCTCCGGATTGAAAGTGTCAGGGGTGGCCCACTCTGCAGGATCCTTGTGTAGCGCAGTCAGATTGGTCAGGACCATAGTGCCCTGGGGCAGGCAGCAAAGACAAAACACATTTACATACAGGGTGGAAGTCCTGGGGCTCCCACACTCTGATAAACCCTAAACTCCCCCCCATCACCCAACTGCATGGTCTTCTGAGCCCAATCCCCAGGCCCCTGCTCTTTGCCATGGGACAGTCCACACGGATGGAGCAGAACCAGAATTTTACCAGACACATTTGGCTACTATTGACTGTTGACTGTATCTTCTCTAGAGGGATGCCTGGTGTGGCGCTGTAGGATAAGCACTGGACTGCTAACCAAAAGGTTAACAGTTCAAACCCACTAGTCACTTCTTAGAAACCCTGTACACACGGTTGCTATGAGTCGGACCTGACTCGATGGCACTTAACAACAACAACATGCAGGAGACCTAAGTTCAATGCTCAGTGAATACACCTCAAGCATAGCCACCAGCTGTCTGTCAGTGGTGATTTACGTATCACTGCGATGCTGAACAGTTTTCAGCAGAACTTCTGGACTAGGACAGACTAGAAGAAAGGCTTGGTGATCTACTTCTGAAAATGAGTCAGTGGGTTGGAACTGACTCTATGGCACTTAACAATACTCACCCACCCACAATTACTTTGTTTGCAACCCTTCAGTATCTTCCTATCACTTTTAGGTTAAAAACCCATCATCTGACCTGGGCCACCTTCCTCGATTCCTACTATGTTGGTCTTCTTTCAGGTTCTCAATAGGCAGTGCTGCCACTGATTTCAAGGCTTTTAAAAGATGCCACAACACACCATGAATGCTCTTTCCCCCTGATTGTCACTAAACTATCCTTAAGCCATTCTTAATCCTAAATGCAAATATCACTTCCTTTTGGAAATCTTCTCTGACAACTCCAGTAGCCACTCCTGGCTCCAGCTCATTTGCATTTTCAAGGTTTGTTAATGTTCTAGCCTAATCATTTCCATGATTGTTTTCATGCTCAGGAGTATTCTTCCAGACCTCAGTACATCAGGCGCTGGATGAATATTTGTTGAATTGTTGTTGCTGTTTTTAAGTGTCTTTGAATTGACTCATAATGACCCAGTGTCAGGTTTCCAAGGAGTGGCTGGTGAGTTTGAACCACCCAATCGTGGTCTGTGCTTGATGACACAGGGATGGCAAAGGACAGGGCTGCATGGGGTCACAGTGACTCTGAGGCAGTTAACAACAGCAACAATTGAGGAAAATTACAGTGAGACTCTAACTTTCATGTCAAAGTAAAGCAACTCTTGCAAAAGGAATATGGTGTAGCATAAAAAAGAGATGGCTAGCTTTGGAGTCAGACAGAACTGATTCTGGATCCTAGCTTTGCCACTTAGCAGCTGAGAGATCTTAGGAAAGGTACGTAGTGTATTTAAGCTTCAATTTCTCAATTTAAAAAATGGATTTAACAAAAGTTACACTGAGGACTGAGACCTTCTGAAAGAAACTCAGTAGTCCACAGTACACAATCAGTGTGCGATTAATGCTGGCCTTTTCTAATAACTAATGTTGCGTACACCTGGGTTGGGTTCCCTTTGTCATAAAAAGTTCTCTATCACGGGTCAATACATGAAAGGTGGATAATACTCATGGGGATATTATGTTAGAAACACTAGCATTAATGGTGTTTTCAAATGTCCAGTCACATTTTAACATTCAATAACCCCAAGATTATGTGGCTAGTGTCTTGTCCTGCCAGATGTTCTATCAAGAAGGAAAGGGCTCTGTGACAAAATATGCCTGAAAACTGCTGCCTGCTATATCCCAACAAAAATTCACAAATCACACTATTGTTGTTACCTGCCACGGAGTTGCCCCAATGCACGATGACTTGCTTACACAGCAGGACCTGGCTGTTAAGATCCATCGGGTTCTCATTGGCTTATTTTCAGAAATAAATCACCAGGCCTTTCTTGCTGGTTCATGTTTCTAATCTGGAAACTTTGCTGACACCTGTTCAGCAGCCTAGCAACATTTTGACTTCCACCAGGAGTCCTGGTGTGGTGCTGCGGGCTAATGCGTCAGACTGCAAAGTCGTTTGAACTGCAAGGTCGGTGGTTCATACTCAGCAGCTGCTCCTTGGAAACCCTACACAGGGTCGCTATGGGTTGGAATTGACTTGACAGCACTTAACAACAAAAACAACAACAGACAGGTAGTAGCTGACTGAGGCACAGTGTTCAGAAGTTGAATCCAGGTCTCTCGCATAAAAGATGACAATCTTACCACTAAACCACCCCTGCCATCCAATGCAAACTGTTGTTGTTAGGTCCTGTCAAGAAGGTTCCAACTCATAGCGACCCTGTACAGGCTTTCTGAGGAGCAGCTGGTAGGTTTGACCTTGTGGTTAAAAATGCTTATCCTATAGCACCACACCGATGCAATTAGTACGGTGAAAACTCTTGAGAAATCCTGTAGCAACAAAAACTGCTGAGAAATTCTGTAGCAAAAGGAAGTAAGTCATTCCCTAAACTTGTTTGGCCATGGAATCCCCTGTTTCTCCCCTAAACCTGTATTTAACACCGACCTAGTTGTACTAATGTTTTAAAGCCTATAATTAAAAAAAAAAAGTACAAAGGAGAGTTTAAAAATTTGTGGAAAAATGATGTTATCTTTATGTTCCATTTTCCCCACATGATTGCCTAAGCTCCCTTTATATAATATAAATTCCATCTCTTGCATGGAGTTATAATACTGACTTTACAAATGATCCTGCTTAGACTATCTAAGGACTCTCACAGAGCTTGGGGATTTTCATTTATTCTTTTCTTTATTGATTAAAAAGTTATTTTCAGTCAAGTAGGATGACTTCAACTGTGAGTAACAGGGAGCCCTAACTCAACTGTTTAATTGATTGTTTTCTCACTTAACTATCCCTTAAATGAGGAAGCTTCAGGCTGATTATTTCAGTAACTCAGCAACAACAGCCTCGAGAACCAGGGTTGCTTTGAACTTTCCTCTCTGGCAATTCTGTCTCTGCCTAGCTCCTTAGGGTCACAAAGCGACTGCTAAGGTTTTTCCTTTCCTACAAGATACTACAAGATTTAGAAGAAAAAAAAAAAGGAGGGGGGAGGGAGGGACTGCTTCCTATTTCAGCAGTATGAAAATTTATTCCAAACATACTTCAAAATCCCACCTCCCACATGTCTCATTGGTCAGAAATAAACCATGTGTGCATTCCTAAGGCCATCACTGGCAAGGAGAATTGGGATGACTCTGATTGGCTTAGTGAAGCACAGTGGCTTTGTGGACGAGGGTGGATCCTATTAATAACATTGAGATTTTATTATTAACTGGGGATGGAGAAGTTGGGCCAACAACTGGAAATATTTTTATATATTTCAAAATACATTGTTATGTATTTTGAACATTTCAAACACAAGGGAAAAAGAGTATACTGCATTCCCATGCACCCTTCACTGTCCACACTTTGACAATTTTTCATCTTCTCTATCCTCCCCTTCATCCCTTGCTGCGCTGTTTTGAAGCAAATCACAGACCTGTATCATTGTTTACATGCTCCATATGTACAGTGAGTACAGTCTATACAAAAGGCTTCAAAAAGTTCAGGGAAACATTCCATTTTTTTTTCATCAACTTTTCGAAGACCCTCATATCGGGTAGAATATATCTTTCTCTTCCCATTTGAATGATTCCTTAGGCTATGAATATGAATCACTTTTCAAGTTCAAATTTTTACTACCTAAAAAGATGGACTTGAAATCCTAAGACTGAGGGTCGCTGGTTACCTTTGGCAGGCAGTATCCAGCCACAGTAGTGTTGAATGCCACTTCCCTGGGCACATTCAAGGGGATGATGTTGCCCATTCTCAGCACCTCATGGATGACGGCATGGGTGTAGGGCATGTGCTCTCTGTGGGCTGTGCTGGGCTGCTGTGACTGGCCGATGACTCTGTCAATCTCAGCTTGTACTTTCTCTGGAAAAGTAGAGAAGACGCTATTATTTTAAAACGCTTATGCTTTCTTCCAAAGATGTAGGGGTGAGCTTCAAGATTTCATCTGCTGTATTTTAATGAACTATCATGTTACCAACAAATAAGATGATTCTTAATCCTTCATGCGGCTTATTTAGAAAATGTTCAACTCCATAGCTTTCTTTGAGTCTGCTTAGGCTAAGGAATAGAATATCCATGGTCAAAATGGCTAATGTTGTTATTGTTGTTGTTGTTGTCAGTTGTCATTGAGATGGTTCTGACTTATGGTGACTTTATAGGTAAAGTCAGAAACATGGGCAGCTCCTTTGCCATCTTCCTGACTGTTGGTATGATTGAGTTTGTCACTGTGGCTACTAAGATCAGTACAGGCTCTACAGACTCGAGTTTTCAAAGAGGTAAGAATGGAGAGGGGATCCTGGTGCAAAATAAATGTGGTTCAAACTCTTGTACTACAACATTCATGTTACAAGTTCAACTTTCTGAGCCCCAGTTTCCTCTTCTGATGACTGGGAATACTGATGACTACATTCATCTTAAGATATTTTGAGAATTGAATGAATTGATTTAAGTGACCATCCAATAAATGATAGACACTGCTAGCTGTCCCCCAACATCTGTTCTCCTCTTCTTCTATAGTAAGTAAAGTTCTTACCTGGTTGCCCAGATAAAGAATACATTTCCAAGATAACTTTGCAACTTGACTATGTGACTAAGTTCTGACCCAGAGATTGTGTATAGAAGTGATGTTTAACACCTCACACATTCCCTTAAAGGAAGAGACATTTGTTTCCTTTGTCGCTAAAGAAAGAATATACTAGTAATTTCCTTGAAGACATATCATAAAAAAAGAAAGTATTTGATCAGATTCTCAAGAATAGCTGGTGATTTGTCACAACACTGGGGAAGAACATCCTTGGTAGAGGAAGCAGCACGCATGAACATGGCATAATAAGGACAGTGTAATGGAAACAATGACATGTGATTTAGTGAGGCCAGCATGCAGAGTGGGTGGTATTGAAACTGGCCGAGAAGGGCACATCATACACCAGACTGAGGAGGCTGGGCATGATCCAAGGGTGATGGCAGCTCATGATTTAAAAGACTAGATTCTCAAGAAGAATATCACTCTTCTAGCAAAGCACTGCTTAAGAAGAAGAACAAGGTTGGTGGCCTCTCACTCCCCAATTTCAAATTTATTACATGGCTATGGTGGTCAAAACAGCCTGGTACTGGTACAATGAAACATACATAGATCAATGGAACAGAATTCAGTATCCAGAAATTAACCCATCCACATACAGCCAATTGATTTTCAACAAAGTGCATAGGAATATTGCATGGGGAGGAGACAGTCTCTTTAACAGATGGTGCTGGCAAAGCTGGTATGTGATATGCAAAGATTGAAACAAGGCCTTTACCTCTCAGGCCCTATACAAAACCCAACTCAGCATGGAATAAAGACCTAAATGTGAATCCTAAAATTATGAAAGTCATCAATGAAAAAATAGGGACACATTAGAGCACTGTAATACAGGGAATACACAGATTACCAAACATTCGCAAAATTACACAAACAAAAGTAGACAAAATAGATGATTGGGACATACTAAAAATTAAAAACTTATGTGCATCAAAAGACTTCACCAGAA